GTTTACTTGTTGTTAAAAAAATGTTTAAACAACTTTATTTATTCAATTATATTACAGTTTTTTTGTTTTTTGCGTGGGTTTGCGCGAAAATTCTGGAAAATAAAAATGTCCTTCTTGCAATTATTTTGCTCTTTATTATTTCGTTAGCACTCAGAACATTTAACTAGGGGAGCTACATTGATTGAATTCTATATGAGGAGGTTCTACATTCACAAACTTTTATTCAAGTGGTGATACGTTCACAAAATGTTCTATAATAGATGGTATACTTACTAAATTTTATATAAGTTACATTCTTTAAATGTTATTAGGCTACACTCAAAAACTTTCATTTGAGAGGGTGCTACAGTCACAAAGCTTACTACCTGTAGACTTCCTTACTACAGTTTGCAAAACGATAATGTTACTTCCTTGTTTAAATTCACGAATTAGGAAAATAGCCCACAGTTATAGAATTAGCTCTTTTTTTGGGGGGCTTACTTTATTTTCCGGAAACCTCACGCTAGTTTGTGGCAGAATATTTCACGGTTTCCATTGGACACTGTTACAGGCCTAATTAGATTTAATAAGGTAGGCCTATATTTGCAATGGTAATTGACATTGGGTAATGAGTTTGATAAGTGTCTCTTTCTACTAGTGTAAATGTGCACCATATGTTTCCACTGTGCGATGAAACAGTTGATGATATCTAATAGTAACAGCACACAGGCGTTTAGGCCTAATTAGGTTTAATAAGGTAGGTCTATATTTACACTGGTAATTGACATTGGGTAATGAGTTTGATAAGTGTCTGTGTCTACTAATGTAAATGTGCACCATATGTTTCCACGGTGCGATGAAACAGTTGATGATATCTAATAGTAACAGCACACAGGCGTCTAGGCCTAATTAGGTTTAATAAGGTAGGCCTATATTTGCACTGGTAATTGACATTGGGTAATGAGTTTGATAAGGGTCTACTAATGGAAATGTGCACCATATATTTCCACAGTGCGATGAAACAGTTGATGATCTCTAATAGTAACAACACACAGGTGGTATCACAAACTTGTTGCTCCAGGGTAAAGGAAGAATCCTAGGAACGGTGCTAGGTTTCCTAACTGCAGGATACCTTGTCAATCAACAGGGCACTAACGACCAAGCCGAACGCAGTGTTTCTTGCACCTCTGGAGGCACGGTGAACCAATAGACAGGCTCCTGCATGATATCTAGAATCAATTAGGACCAAGGGAGGCTACCGTTTCCTTAGGAATAGTACAGAAGAACTAGATAAGCGATCATTTCCCAACCACCTTGAAAAGTCGCCGTCTCAAATGAGAACCTCTTAAACTATAGTTAACCTACTCGCGATACTCAACCCCAAAAGTCTTCTGGACGCCACAAGCACACGTGAACTGAGGTTCTATCGATCAACGTAGATATTACCTTTTATACGATTTTCTACTCTGATCGTAGTCCTTGTCGTACCAAGCCTAGTAAAAAGTATGAGTAATAAAACGAAGAAAACACCGTTTTGTTGATTTTGGCAGCAAAGGTTCGAATCATACCGTGACTAGCATTCATATGGTTCCAGTTTTTTTGTTTCTTTCTTTTTTACAGTTTTTCATTGTAAGCCACCGAATTGTTAAATCAGCTCTTAGTTGTTACTTATAACTACTTCTCGTCCACACCTTGTCCACAATGGCGGTCTCAATTCGTCCAAGTTTTACAGGGTATGCGTTTCAAAGTAAGTAAAACTTTATTTTTCATTTTATTTGCTTTGTTTTGTTTTTAACATTTTGAGTTTTATTTGAAAATAATACGTTGTTTTTTATTATATATATATTTTAATGCATAAGCATTGATTAGAAAAAAACAATCTGAAACCTAAAATTTACTTACTGGCATTCGTTTTATTTAAATATGTTGTAGTTTATTTACTTTTAATCGCCCTCCCAGTGGCACAGCGGTAAAACTGCGGAATTAGAACGCTAAAAACCGGGTTTAGATACCCGTGTTGTCCAGGTCGCCCATTGTGTAGCTTTGTGATTAACTTCAAAACAACAACAACAACATTTACTTTCAAATCTCATTAATATATAACGAAATAACAATTGTTACGGTGAATTGCTTACAGGGAGATCTATGTTAAATAATCTTATTGTTACGGTGGATTGCTTACAGGGAGATCTATGTTAAATAATCTTATTGTTATGGTGAATTGCTTACAGGGAGATCTATGTTAAATAATCTTATTGTTACGGTGAATTGCTTACAGGGAGATCTATGTTAAATAATCTTATTGTTACGGTGGATTGCTTACAGGGAGATCTATGTTAAATAATCTTATTGTTACGGTGGATTGCTTACAGGGAGATCTATGTTAACTAATCTTATTGTTACGGTGGATTGCTTACAGGGAGATCTACGTTATATAATCTTATGCCTTTCGACAAAATCGGTAAGCGTGTTTGTGTGTGTTTTGTTTTAGCACAATGGGCTATACACGCTTTGTCCACCACGGCGAATCTAACCCCGGATTTTTATTATTGTAATTATGTAACTTTACCGCCTCACATTTGGAGAACGAATCAATAAGAATAGAAATCTAATGTCAAATGATATCAGTAAATATGGTTTAATATTAAAACTTGTTATTAAATTTTATTTTGTTTTATCAAGATAGCTCTATAATCAGTATACAAGTTGGAAACTGATAGTTTTAAATAACTTAGAACTTTATAAAAGGTGTATTAGTCAACAAGCATTAAAGTTAAATAAAAGTCCAAAGACACAGCTTTTTGGGTGGATTATATTTTCTAAAGTATACATAGTGTGGGAGAAATTGGAAAAAGTGGTATTTCTTCTATCTTGCTTGGACACATGTCTTTGGATATGAGACTTCGACGTGTAGGTGGACACACAGTTTTTATGATAATATACAGGGTTAGTGTTCAGGTTGTGCAAACTAGGCTCTATATGTTCATGCAAACCTGTCTAAGTCTACCAGCAGACACTATAGCACTTATTCTTGCTTGGGTAGCAGATATAAGCTAGGAATTATCTGCACTACAGCTGAAGATAGCGGGGAAGCAACATGCAGGGATTTCAGAAGCAGCCATTATCTAATACATCATCTGAAAAAGAAAGACATTTAATAGTGATGCCATCATCAACGTTGATTATAATGTACAATATATATATATATCACATATTACAGAACAAGAAAAATATATGATAATATGCACAATTTAATTAACAGATGCAAACAGCAATCACGTGTAGTTATTCACTGATGAGAATTCTGTTCTCAAAGTAAACTTTTCCATATATTCTTCAAATTGTTGTCAAAAACTATACTTTTCATGGATGTTTTTTTTTAATTAAGTTGTTATTTTATGACTAAAAACCTAGATTTAGATGACCACATGGTTAATGTATTTCATTTATGACATGGGACATTGTATTGTTTTAGTTCTGGTGGCGGCCTTTTTTTGGACGCCATCTTGAATATGACGATGCACGTTAAAAAATATAGTTAAACCAATTATATTATTGAATTCCTCGACCTCAAAAACCTAGGTTTAGACCCCCAAAAGTAATTTCTATGTAATTTAGGACCTAAAATATCTGCTTTTTAATTTATGGCCGCCAGTATAGACGTCATCTGGAATACCTCAATTTTCCCAAGAGTGACAAAGTGGCACCTGACAGATTTGAATTCAGCACCTGCGAATAATATAAAAACAGTCATAAAACTTTGTCTTTACGCGAAATCCCACTTTTCAATTTTCTCTCAGACAAGTAATAAATTCTTATTCGAAATGAGAACAGACTTTTAAGCTCATATTAATTAAATTATAATACATATTGCCCCCCCCCCCCCAGTGGCATGACCGTGGACTTACAACGTTAGAAACCGGGTTTCGATACCCATGGTAGACAGAGCACAGATAGCCCTTTGTGTAGCTTTGTGCTTAACTACAAACAAACAAGTATTCATATTGGTAATTTCGTAAGAAAATTGAGTTGTCATTCTGTAGTAATGAAAACAACATGATCTCTTAGGTCAAGGACGGGTTAATCAACTAGGTGGCGTCTTTTTCAACGGCCGACCGCTGCCCAGTCATATTCGCTTAAAAATTGTAGAAATGGCTGCTGCTGGGATCAGACCTTGTGTGATAAGTCGAAAGCTCAAGGTGTCTCATGGATGTGTGTCGAAAATTTTAAACAGATATCAGGTATGTTATTTTATCTGTTTATGTGTCTCGAAAAAAAATTACAATTTTTTTGTGGAGGATAACGAAGCAAGAGTAACTAGCAGTACTACCAGAAGCGTTAATCTGTATCTTTATTTATATATGCAATGTAAATTACATTATTTAAACTTACATAAATATTAAGTCTTTTTATTGCAGCCTTTTAGTGGCACAGCTGTATGTCTGCGGATGTACAAAGCTAGAAACCTGGTTTTGATACCCGTGATGGGCAGAGCACAGATAGCTCATTGTGTAGCTATGTGCTTAACAATAAAAAAAACAAATAAGGAAACGCGCAAAATAAAAATGCTCTTACAAAATTATTTTTAAATTTGCAACCGTTTGTAGAAAGGGCAATATATCTATAAAAAAGGTTTCTTTTTGAATTTCGCGCAAAGCTACACGAGGGCTATTTGCGCTATCCGTCCCTAATTTAGCAATGTAAAACTAGAGGGAAGGCAGCTAGTCATCACCATCCACCGCCAACTTTTGGGCTACTCTTTTACCAACGAATAGTGCGATTGACCCTCACTTTATAACGCCCCCACGGCTGAAAGGGCGAGCATGTTTGTTAGGACGGGGATTCGAACCTGCGACCCCCAGATTACGAGTCGAGCGCCTTAACCACCTGGCCATGTATAAAAAAAGGAAACAATTAAAACTTATAAATCAAAAGTGATCGAACATGCACTGAACTTAACAAAAATTTGGGTTATAGAGAGCTCTGTATTTTTGGTGCTTAATATCAAAAAATGAAAGCGGAAATGGAAGAATATTTGGACAACCAAACTCTACACAACAGGCTTGCTCGCGAGAAAACGAAGACCAAACTCTACACAACAGGCTTGCTCGCGAGAGAACGAAGATCAAACTCTACACAACAGGCTTGCTCGCGAGAGAACGAAGACCGAACTCTACACAACAGGCTTGCTATAGAGAACGAATACCAAACTCTACACAACAGGCTTGCTATAGAGAACGAAGACCAAACTCTACACAACAGGCTTGCTATAGAGAACGAAGACCAAACTCTACACAACAGGCTTGCTATAGAGAACGAAGACCGAACTCTACACAACAGGCTTGCTATAGAGAACGAAGACTGGACTCTACACAACAGGCTTGCTATAGAGAACGAAGATTTTTCGTACAAAAGTTGTGATGAACCTGTCTTTGATCCACAGTAAAACGTGAAGGTCAATTTCTTCAATATTTTTTTTAAGTCGCTCAATCGTGGTTTCAGCAAATACAGGAAAACAACTTATTCTTCAGTTTCCTGTACTGCATTGGTGACTTCTCAAAAGTCAGTCGAAATGATTTGCTAAAATACTGCATAGATAGCCGAATCAGTTCTTCTGAAAGCGGGGTTACTGACGTCACTGCAACAGAAATGCTTGACGAATTGAGGGCCATCTCGTGGTGAATAACTAAAGAATGGCTCCGAAAATTGTATAGAAATGTTTTGTTGATTTATGTTGATTTTATTCATCACCGTCACTAGAAGAAGAAGAAGAAAGTTTTCAGACTCAAACTGATTAATAGTTATTTGGGATTAACTATGATACTAACAAACTCAAACTGATTAATAGTTATTTGAGATTAACTATGATACTAACAAACTCAAACTGATTAATAGTTATTTGAGATTAACTATGATACTAACAAACTCAAACTGATTAATAGTTATTGAGATTAACTATGATACTAACAAACTCAAACTGATTAATAGTTATTTGAGATTAACTATGATACTAACAAACTCAAACTGATTAATAGTTATTTGAGGTTAACTATGATACTAACAGTCCAGCGGTGATTTTAATAGAGCATGAAATCGAATAGAAAGGTAAATTTGAAGCAAGTTCTGTGAAATTTGATCTCACATGGAACAACAACAATAAAAATAGAACTTAGCATGGCCTAATGGTTAGGGCGCTCGACTCGTAATCTGAGGATCATGGATTCAAATCCCCGTCACCGAACGTGCTCGTCCTTTCAGCCGTGGTGGTGGTGTTGACTAGCTGCTTTCCCTCTAGTCTATCACTGCTAAATTAGGGACGGCTAGTGCAGATAGCCCTAATGTGACTGATATAATATGTATACTGTATAATTAGTGATAAAAGGACTTATGAGTGGTATAACATGTATACTGTATAATTAGTGAAACAAGACTTATGAGTGGTATAACATGTATACTGTATAATTAGTGATAAAAGGACTTATGAGTGGTATAACATGTATACTGTATAATTAGTGAAAAAAGACTTATGAGTGGTATAACATGTATACTGTATAATTAGTGATAAAAGGACTTATGAGTGGTATAACATGTATACTGTATAATTAGTGATAAAAGGACTTATGAGTGGTATAACATGTTTACTGTATAATTAGTGATAAAAGGGCTTGTGAGTGGTATAACATGTTTACTGTATAGTTAGTGAAAAAAGACTTGTACTGATATGTCGTGATTACAATTTACACGTGTTGGTTGCATGGAACACATTGACTCAAATTCCCCAATATTAACGGGGCTGAGTTGTGGTCTGGAATATCAATATAAGATCTCTCTCTCTATGTACCAAATCCAAACAGTACGTTGGTAACCATGATCTTCCATATATATATATATATATGTACCATATCCAAACAGTACGTTGGTAACCATGATCTTCCATATATATATATATGTACCATATCCAAACAGTACGTTGGTAACCATGATCTTCCATATATATATGTGTACCATATCCAAACAGTACGTTGGTAATCATGATCTTACATATATATATATATATATATATGTGTGTACCATATCCAAACAGGACGTTGGTGAACATGATATTCCACAGATCTCTCTCTCTCTCTGTGATTTCGCACAAAGAATATCTAATGTCGATACATTCATCCATTTAGAAATAGACTCTTGACACAAGTCATCCTCTGTCTTCCACGATCTTCCCTTCCTTCAATCTTTCCGGTTACGCCCAGACTTACAATATATTCTTTCCTCATAACGTGTTCTAGAAACTCCAACTGTCTTTCTTTGATGTTAGCTGGCAGTTTTCTCCTGCAACCTGCTCTTGACATAAATATATTCATTTAAGGTGTGACTTGTCCAACATACCTAAAGAACCACGACTTTAGTTCTCTTTTCCAAAGTTGGCAATATGGTCCAACATACCCGAGAATTGAAATATAGGATGTATTAGTTTAATCAAAAATCCCCAGAGAAAGTTCTTCCATCTTTTAATATATAATTAATAAAACAACGAACTTTGTTTTTCTTCAGGAGACCGGCAGTATTCGACCAGGTGTTAACGCGGAAAATAAACCCAGAGCGACCTCTCCTGACGAGAGGCAAAATATAGAAGATTCTCAGAGGAAAAAAACGTGCATTTTTACTTGGGAAATATGTGATCGCTTGATAAAGGTACGTACACTGAGGTTCGCTGCAGACTATACGTATGTGCATGGTTATAAACCTCTTCAGTCGGAAAAACATGTAATACAAATGTCACAACTTCAATAACGAAATCACTGAAAATTTTTAAACCTACCATAGGGGATGAAAAATTTTGTTTTACCCACTAGGGGATCAAAATTATCGGAAATCATTTTTATTATTATGCCCACTAGGGGATCTAAATATCGTAAATCGTTATTATTATTATTATTATATCTATTAGGGCAGTGTTTCCCAAAGTGGGAGCCGCGGCCTCCCTGGGGGCCGTGAAGCTTTTTCTGGGGGGGGGGGCACAAAAAAATGGGCCCAAAACAACGATGCTGAATTAATTTTAATTCTAAATAAACAATATGCCGATAAAAATTATGTTGAATTAATTAAATTACAAGATTGCTTTATATTTTAAAATTAAACTAAGATAACCTTACATAAAATTAAGTGTGTATTTATTTGCTCATCAGTCTACAAATTTAACCCAAACAAAATAAATTGCTAATGGTCTAATTATAAAACATTAATTGATAAGAAAAGGCCACATTAAATTACAAACGTACAATTTAACAGAAAAAGTGCCTCGTAGGTATAATTAAAGTTCACTAGTAATTATTTTTTGAAATTGATAAATCACATTTTAAGGGATTTTTATAGGTTGGTGGACCTCAAACTTGTTTATTCACATCAAGGGAGCCTCAGACTAAAAGAGTTTGGGAACAACTGTACTAGGGGATCCAAATATCGTAAATCATTTTAATAAGACTTTCTTGGGGGGGGGGTCATTCTGTTTTTATGTAGTTTTACTTAGGGTAGACGTCCTCTTAAGCCCTCGTTATTTTTTTTCTTCTGAAAAATCACTAAATACATTATTTAATTTTATAGTTTGAAACCAATAAATAATAAATAAATCAGTATCGATTTATTTCGTTATACAGTCGTAAATAAAATTACGAACAGTCACAATTAACTAGTCCTAATATAAAGCTTCTTGTAAAGTTTTGGAAAAAAGTTTAAAGTTGAATAAAATATTTATTTCAAACTATTTAATAACACAGCTTGTTGACTCGCGGCCTGCTGTGTGTGTGTGTCTGTTGTGATTGTCATCACTACAGAAAGTGTTACAAGTTTTATTTTAAATACATTATCTGTCCGTGTGTTCGTCTTAAATCGTGTTGGTTATGGAGCAAGTTCATCAAAGTTACGATGCTCGCCAAATGGAGGTGTATATGTGACTTTTATTTTAGCAAGATCATGTCATGCTGCTGTGTTCGTTAATCTTGCGTAGTGTGGGTTTATGTGAAATTCAATCTGTCAATGGAGTGCTCTATTTTCCTGCAGGACGGAGTATATGACAAAAAATCAACTACCAGTGCGAGTTCTGTTAGTCGACCCCACCGCGGAGGAATACAGTTGGAAGACGCGGATGACTATAATGGCGATAGTGATGGAAGCAAAAAGGCTGACCACAGTATTGACGGGATTCTGGGTGGTAGGTAGATAAGTAGTTATTTGCTGAGATCAGTTTTATATAACTATTTCGATTGTGTGGGTAAAATCAAAACGAAAAGTACTGAGAAATTATACATTCAAATATATATATATATACTGTTTATATAAACATACACAAACACATAGTTCAACAGAGCTTGTAAAACTCAATTGACTAACATTGTCTTTTCACCTTCTCATATTTCAAAAAATAAATACCAGTGAAGTTTCTATAAACACCACTGGTTCGGGCGTGGCCTAATGATTAATGTCCGAATTATATATATTTGTGGTTCGAGAACCATTGACTCCACAACTAGCTCCGAACTTTGAAACTGTAAGTGCGCTATCAGAGTGACGATAAAATCTCACTGTTCGATTGCTTATTCGTTTATTTGTAATTAAGCACAAAGCTACACAATGGGCTATCTGTTCCCTGTCCACCACGGGTATCGAAACCCAGTTTCTAGCGTTGTACGTCCGCACACATACCACTGTGCCATTGGGAGGGGGGGGGGTCACTGTTCGATCAGACAAAATTTGTCGGTGAGTGCTATTGAGAAGCTGCCTCCATCCTAGTCTGTAAGCTCAAAATTGAGAATAAATATGCGCAGATAGCTCTTAAGTGGTTGTGTGCAAAATTGTGACATACACAAAAAAATAAAAAAATCGAATAATCATTTTGTATTCAGTTCATGAAACATTGGAATTACTGCATATAGTTGTAACTTCCAATTAAATTTTCTTATTTAAATTATTCCTCCAAAAATAATAGGTAATATTTTTTATTTGTTTGTAATTAAGCACAAAGCAACACATCGGCCCACCACGGGTATCGAAACCCGGATTCTAGCGTTGTAAGTTCACAGACATACCGCCGTGCCACTGGGGAGCTGTTTTCAATCAATAGTGACTTATCACATGGCAAATTTATTAAACGGACGAAAGACGAAACAATGACATATAAAGTTTCTAGGGAAAAGATAGCTTATGAACGAAATAATAGGGGGGAGGGAATAGTAAGAAAATAAGTTGCAACCCTACTCAGATCTTATCGTTGCTATTTAATAAAATATCGCAGATTGCGAGTCGAGCACCCTAACCACCTGGCCATGCTGGGCCGTTCTACAGTTGAAACCAATCGATCATGCATGGTCTTAGGGTTAGCATGTCTGGTTTTAGGATCGGAAACATCCAAGGTTTGCGTCGCCATCACTCTGAACACGCTTCGTACTTTCAGCTGTAACAACCAATTCTGTTATTCGGTTCAAAGCCAGACAAAACCCTTTCGGTAACGATTGTTTCTGGCAAGATGGATGTCTTCTGGCTTGTCAGTAATTCAAAATAAGGGCATATTTATGAAAACAGCTCCTTTTGAAGTAATATTCTCTAATTAGCTTAATAGGAGCGTGAGGATATCCGACAGGACTCTAGTTCTTCCGATCATCGGTAGGTAGAGACGGTGTCTCACCATTCTTCAGCCCTCGAGACAAACAATACGTATATAACAAAAACTGTTCATTACTTTTCTATCAGGAAATTAAAATACTCTCAGAAATGACTTGTTTTTAAACTTCTGTTAAAATATGATTTCTGGGCATGTTCAAAAATGTTTAGTACTTCTTCAGATGAACCCACGTCATCACTTTTTAAAACAAAATATTAGAAATTATATGTCTATTATTGGTTTTACAAAAAAATAAAAAATTTCTAACCAGTTATTTTGGTGAGTCAGCGTTGCCTAGAGGTTAGCGTACTGGACTGTGAATCTGAGGGTCCTTTCTTCGCGTCTTGTTGCCTCAAAAACGTGCTCCGCACTTTGGAGATGTGAGTGCGTTATAAGGGTGACAGTCAAATCTCACTATTCATTTAAAGTAGCCGAAAAGTTGACAGTAGGTGCTGTTGACTAGCTGCTCGTTTATTATTTTTAGAAAAATAGGGACGACTAGTGCAAATAACCCTTGTTTAGGTTTGTACGCACTTTCATTTAGTTTGGCTGTTGCACAATTTTGTGTTTAAAAAAATCGCTGAAACATCACGTGTTGAAAACAACAAACAGGAACCTATTATTAAATAGGTTCACTGTTACGAAATACACGTAAAACCACATAAATAGTTTGTTAATTTCACTGTCACGAAATACACGTAAAACCACATTAAATAGTTTATTAATTTCACTGTCACGAAATACACGTAAAATCACATTAAATAGTTTGTTAATTTCACTGTTACGAAATACACGTAAAACCACATTAAATAGTTTGTTAATTTCACTGTCACAAAATACACGTAAAATCACATTAAATAGTTTGTTAATTT